AGGTAAGTCCCTTAAGTTAGGAGTTTAATCAAACTATCAGATTTCGTTAGGTAAGTCCCTTAAGCTAGGAGTTTAATCAGAAGAAGTATTAGAATAAATAATAGGATCTAATTGATGTTGGTTGCTGACATTGTGTCTGGTGGTGAAAATACCTGTTTAAGGATTGGAGTGGCACATTTTTCTCTTAATATCTCAGCATCTGAATAAGTCAAGCATGGCACTGGCTTCAGTTCTGCATACTGCACAGAAGTCAAAAGGAAAACAGCATTACTTCATTGCCAATACCTCTTAAATAAACCAGGTATGTCATAGAAATTTAAGCATTCCATCACAGTTCTAAAGCCATCCTTTGAAAGAAAATACAAAGAACCATATGTAACCAGACACACAAGGGCAGATATCAACGTAAGAAACAGGTTACCCAAAACAAACTATAACATGTATGTTTCAAGCAGTGTGAATTACTTTTTATACTTGCTACCTCGATAAGAAAATTAAGAACCAAAATATTTTATGACATAATTGTCATAAAATCCCAGTGATGCAGGGAAAAAAAAACTTTTACCTTGAGGGCCATACCAATTATTGCAAGAGGAAAGCCATATGTTAGCATTATTGCTGACCATTCAGATCCTGGAAGGATGTTGAAATATGCCCCAAAACCATACCTGCAGATCACACAATACCTTGTGATCAGCAGTCACTTATGATTACTTAGGTACGATCAAAGGGAAAGAAACTCACGACAGGAGCGAAATCCCTAAACCCAGTCCAATGACACCAAATGAGACCTGCAAACAATAGAAAACATCATAATTTCAGTCATCAGAACATACAGATGATGACACCAGGTTTATTAAAACTTTATGCAGTAAGCAGGCTTGCACCAAGTCTTAGCCAAAGCAGGTTCAGAGAGGTGATAAGACTGAAGAAGATGACGGAACTGTTTGGCTATTGGTTATCACTGGAAATTTGCCCACAAAACTATATAATACATCCCATTAACTTGAAACCATTGAAGACAGTTTCATCACTTATTCAAACAACTAGGAACAACATAAGTGATAAAAGAAGTCAGTGCGTTAGTATCTAAGAATCTAACCCAAAAGCTAACCAATGCTTATCCTTACAAATGCGGCATTACACAAAACCCCTGTTCACCTGTTAACAAGACTACATTTTACATCCTAGACCGCTACAACAGATGAGATTAGCCCAACAGCTCTAGCAAATTGGGTAACAAACAACAAAGTACAGCAGTTGGAATAAGAATCAGTCAATAAGCACCTAACCAATTAATCATGACTCAACAATTGCAAACTTTAAACCCAACACCATGCCTCGATAACATCATTTTTTTTCAACATTTCATTTTCTCATACAATTTTCAAAGGAACAGGTTGAATTTTGGTAATCCCATTACTTTAAATTGATAAATTATCAAGCCCCGATAACAAAATTACCGACAACAAGAACAACTTCCAATCCACAAACACCTAAATTAATCCCTTGACAGCCAATATAGTCGTTTAGTGAATCAAAAACCAATTAATCATCATCACAAACAACAGTAACGACCTCAACTTTAGAAACAATTGACACAAACGTGAAATGGGTCTATTTCATTTAAATTGTTACAACAAAATTTAATGAAGAAAAATCAATTCCATACAATAAAAGAAGAAGCAAGAAGAGAAACACCTTAGCAAGAGAGAACTCATCATCAGTAACAATCGTTTTGGAACCAGTGGTAGAAGAAGAAGCCCGACTCGAATCAGCAGCTTTGGTTAAGAACACAAGCTTAACTTTGTGGTTTTGCTTAGCACTCAATTTTGATGGTGACGAAGAATGTACAGAGAGAAAGCAGCGACCTTCGTGTTTGTTAGTACAGAACCTTCCAAATTGTACATCATAGTGGAAAATGGTGGTTCTTGCTGTTGCAGAAGCTGATAATATTATTGCTTTCATTGGGTAGTGGTCGATTGATTGATTTTTAGAGTTTGGTTCTAACTCTAAAAATTTGCAGACATTATTCTTCTGTTTCTTTCTTTGAGCATGAAGTATGTTATGTATCTGGTTTTGGAGAGAATAAGAATGAGAGGCTACAGTTTGATGATCCAAAAACTAGTTTCAACCGCCAAAAAATTATTGTTACGTGGCACTATTCATTTTCTCTATTTTTTCTTCTTTTTAATTCTAATTTTATTGAATAATATATATATATATAATCAAAATATTTAAATTATTTAAAATTTTAATAATTACTATTTTAGTTATCTGTTTCAATAAATTTGATTGAATTTTTTATATTTTCTCGAATTTTATAAGCATCATAATGATATTGTATTATCATAGTATCAATTAAATTAGTTTTTTAAAACAATTAGAACCAATAAAGTAATAATTCAATTAAAAAAAATTCTTTTGAAAGAAAAAAAATTCTTCATAAACTTTTAATAAATGGAGATTCGATAAAAAAAAAATTATAGGAAGTAATCCCACTTCAATAAAAAATATGAATACAAAAATTCCACAAAGACAAAATGAGATTTTTTAAACACGTGATTTTCAGAATATTCAATAATTTTCAGAATATTCAATAGTTTCCTTTTAAAAAAAAAAAGATATTCATCAGTTATTTCAATATATTATCAAGATTTACAAATTATTCCCCTCCTTCAAGAATTGTCTATTATATCATTAGGGTGTGTATAATAGCATTAGTTAGCTGCCCAATATATAGAGGTAAAATTGCCTTAAATTAGGGTAATATATTGTTTGTTGTTCTTAGTATTTAAAGTGATTTTTTTCATAAATATATTAAAATAATAATTTTAAATTTTTAATATCAATAATTATTTCAACAAAAACATTTACCAACAAGAAGCATCATGTAAATTTCCATGCCCATCCAGCCAAGAATTTGCTGAATACATAATTTTATTGATGCTGCTCATTAACGAATCTTTCTTAGGACATCTGCTGAGACCTAAAGACTTAGGTAACCCGTAAGCAACATTTGAAGAACAGTTGATATGCAGAGACTATCACAACTTGAATCCTGGGTTCATGATCAGTAATGCAAAAGCAGTATTGAAAAAACACCCTATCTATACTGAGCCTCAAAACAAATATATCAAAAGAACAAAATATTAAAAAATATGAATACTGAGTCTCAAAACAAACATATCAAAAGAACAAAATATTAAAAAATATACAGCATTTCATAATTTTCAAAAATATTATATTACTCAAAATTGATGAAATTAAAGGATAGTTCAAAACTCTTCATCAGTAATTAAAACAAAAATAATAATTCATAATACTCATTACATTGTCAAAATCCAAACTTAATTAAAACAGAGTAATAGTGGAGCGTTTAAGACATCAAATCAAAACAACCTTGAACCATAAGCAAGGCATACCGACCCAAAACTGAA